TCAGAGACTGAGGACATCACCCCCGATCTGACTGCTGCCACGTCTGGTGCCTCGAGGACACAGCTGCTACTCTGTCGGGGATGCTTAGGAGGGAGATTCCTGAGCCAGGGAGCTGCTGGCACCGTGGTTTCCAAGTCCCCTTCCAGTTCTAATAGTCTGCGCTTCTATCAATACAGTGAGGGGGTTGGAGCCCTGGCTGGTGTGGCTCAGCGGTTAGAGCGTTGGCCCGAGAACTGAAGGGTTTCAGGTTCTGTTCCTGGACAAGGGCATGCACCTGGGTTGCACCTAGCCCTGGTTGGGGTCGCGCAGAAGACAACCAATTGATGTGTCTCTCTCACATTGATGTTTCTCTCTCTCTCCCCCTCCCTTCCACTCTCTCTAAAAATCAATGGAAAAAATACCCTCAGGTGAGGATTAATAAAAACAAAACAAAATAATGGGAGTTGGATTGAACCAAGGGTTTTAAAAACTTCTTGGAGCAGGAGAGCTCTATCCCGCCAGTGAAATCTACTGTGGAATGCCGAAAGCACAGCGGGTCGCCGCAGCGCCACTCTGGTTGAAAAGAGATGGCTTCCACCCAATGTCCATCAGTGACAAATGGATAATAAAATGTGGTATATCCATACAATGGAATATTATTTGGCCATAAAAATAAATAAAGTATTTGTGATCCATGCTACAATATGAGTGAACCCCAAAAAAAACATTATGCTAGGTGCAGGGAGCCAGACACAGAAGACTGAACATTGTATGACTCCATTTATGTGATGTGTCCAGAACAGGTAAACCCAAAGACAGAAAGTAGGCTGGTGTAGGGACAACGGCAGTGACTGCTTGGTGTGTACAGGATTTCCTTTTGGGGCGACAGACCATTTTGGAACTAGTTGGGGTGATGGTTGTACAACATTGCGAATGTATTAACTGCTGCTGAATTGTGCGCTTTTATTTATTTATTTAATATTTTTAGAGAGAGACAGACAGAAACATCGATCAGTTGCCTCCCTTAAATCAAGACCAGGGATCAAACCCGCAACCTGGGCATGTGACCTGACCGGAATCAAACCCACCACCTTTCGGTATACGGGACGATGCCCCAACCAACTGAGCCACGTGGGCCAGGGCAAATTGTGTACTTCTATTTATTTTTTATTTTCTTATTCCTCACCCAAGGATTTTTTTTATTTATCATTAGATAGAGTTGGAGGGAGGGAGAGAAACATCGATATGAGAAGGACACATCAAGTGGTTGCCTCCTGCATAACCTGACTAGGGCGGGGGACAAACTGCAACCAAGGTACGTGCCCTTGACTGGAATCGAACCCACGATTCATTGGTCCGTGGGCCGATGCTCTAACCACTGAGAAAACTGGCCAGGGCCAAATTGTGCACTTTTAAATGGCTAGCTTTATATTACGTAAGTTTTACCTCCCTGTATGTGTTTGTAGAGATACGATGGTTCCAGAGTCTCACCCCATTAGCCTCCCATTCTTATGTCCCTACAGCGTCTCCAAAGAACCCTGGTATGAAAATGAATAGAGTCGCTAGCTATCACATGGTTTCCAACAGTTCTCCTATGACAGCTATGTTATTTCTTCAGGGGCCAAAGGCATTTTCTCCTAAGCCAACACACAGAGGCCCGGGCCCAGGCCAGCTAGCTATCTGTAAACAGGGTTTCCGCCGCAACAGGTCAACGTCCGCTCTAGTCCACAGTGATCTAGCAGCTTCAGTGTGAGGCTGTGTTGTTGGTTTTAAACTCAAAATTCTACTTTAAGTATACCAGGGACGATCATGAGAAGCAGGCATTGCTTTTTGTTTGTTGGTTGGTTGGTTTTAGTAGATAACTTTACTGTTGAGTAGTAAACGAAGCATGTATTAAGTGCTTGCTACAGATGAAAACTTTTGCACATTGTTTCATTTCAATGTTATCATCCTCATTTTCTAGAAAAGGATACTGAGGCTCAAAATAGCTCTGCAGCATCCCCAGGGTCAGAATTTAAATCTCAGTCTCTTGAGCACAAGAAAAAGCTCTTTCAACTCTGCCAAGATGGGTATCAGCAGAGTGGCAAGTTCTCTCCCCGGAGAAGGCATGAGGACTGATTTCAGTCCCACTATGAAAACGACCCCAGCCTACAGGCCCCCAAGGTATGTGAAGATGCATGACGCATGGACACACACGTCCAGGTCCCTTCTATCTCCCCCACCCCCACATCTTCTCAGAGGAGTTTTGAGATCTGAGGAGTTCAGGCATCTGTCTACCCATTCCTTCGGTCTGTGCAGGAAAACAGACCTACTTCACGGTCTTGCTGATAAAATTACCCCAGAAGCAACTAGCGAGGGACACTGCGGACCTTCTGTTGCTAAAGAGTTGAAGGGAGAGGCTAGCACACCATTGGTTTCAAAGGGTTTAGGTCACATCCGATGCAGATGCAAGAACTCTGGCTTCTGAAGGTAACGTTCAGCCTAGAAGTCTATGTGACATCATTCTGCAGTTGCAGTGACATGGTCTCATGTATGGACACAGATGATTCAGGCAACACTGTGCATTTTCTGCGGGCATAAATAAGGTGCTTTTCCAAGCTACCTTGAAAGATTTCTACACAATGGAGCTGAGAAGAATTTCAGCCTTTTTCTCTGCATGGTAAAGTTATCAAAATGATCGTAATAATCTTTTACATATAAATGCACTTCACAGATTACAAAGTGCTTTCATGGACAATCATCGCTGGGTTAAAAAAAAAAAAGGTGAAATTAAGGGAAAATATTAGTGATGACAGTTAGTTATTAACATACACCCTGAATATTGTAGGTAAGGAAAGGGTGAGATTAAAGGATTTTTATATTTGAATGGAAGTCAGGTTCTTGAAGTTCTAACTGATCCTGGTTATCAATTAAAAGAAAAGTCGATGCTTTTAAATTAAAGACGAGGTGCTGCCACTATGACTTAGTAAGTTGTAAGTGCCTTTCCCCTCCTTTCTGAGGGCTCTGGGCCCCGCTGCTACTACAAATAGACCCACAGCTCGTGTGAGTTATGCAGAATGCCAGAGGGAGGTGAAGGAAAATGACTTAGAACAAGGAAAAGAAAACTAATCATGCTCTGAAGCCATTTCATGTAAAAATGTTTTTGGTGGTAGAGGTTAAGAGGGCCACACAGTGGCCTTTGAACTTCCCACCAAAGGAATCAGGATGCTAATGTGCCAAGGTCATCTTTGCTTAAAAGTATTTTTTCTTTATTGGTTTTAGAGAGAGAAAGGGAGAGGAAGGGAGAGAGAGAAACATCGATGAGAGAGAACATCGACTGGCCGCCTCCTGCGTGCCCCTCACTGGGGATCGGGCCCACAACCTGAGCATGTGCCCTGACCTGGAATTGAACTGGCGACCTCCTGGTGCATGGGTCGATGCCCAACCACTGAGCCACACCGGCCGGGCTCAAGGTCATCTTTTAAAAGCTGTACCATGCCACACCGATGTGGATAGCCACCCAAATCTCTCCACAGTGCCACAGTCTTTCAGACCCTAATCTCTACTGGTGAGATCAATAACCATTAGACACCCATAGCAGACTGTCGAGAAACGAGTCGTATTGCGCTTAATCTCACCAAGCTGCATTAATCCACTGCTGTTCCTTCAAGGCAGCCGAAGAGCACAGCCGCAGGCATGCACAACGGCCACCGTCTGGCTGCCGTGGGGTCTGAGCTGCTCCGAGGACCCGGCGGACCTGCCACGCCGTCACGTCGAAGCTCTGGTGGGCGGAAGCCACATCTGGCAGGCTCAGCCCCTGCAGACGAGGGGTGACTTTCCTCGGCTGCCCGGGTCTTGCCGACCATGGCAATATGAGCCTCCCGTGGTGAAGAGCATCCTGAAGGAGCACTCAGCCGAGCGGGCACCATGCAGCCTGACTCAGAGTACGACAAACACGCCCTCAGAGTGACATTTCCTGCAGGGCAGTGACGCCAACCTTGGCTGCACAGTAGAGTCACCTAGGGAACCGCAGCATTTTCTGTAGCCAGGCTTCCCGCACTGGTTCATTAAAATCAACATCTCTAGAGGCGGGGGCCCTCGCACTGGTGTCTCTGGAAGCTCCCCAGGTGGTCCGAGAGCACGGCCTGGAGGGTGTTCTAACAAGATCTGGGTTTGAGCCCAGCTGGCGAGGGGCCACAGTCCAGGAACCTGCAAAGCGCCACTTGCTGGGGGAAGTCAGCGTTCCTCACACCCTGGAGCCACAGCTGACAACGCTGCACCTGTCTGGGAGCATCGGGGTTCACCTGATTCGTCGGGGTCCGGGGAGTGCTCTTTGAAATGCCTGTCTTTGATGTTTCTGCCTAAAACCAGCACAGTGGTATGTACTCAACCCTTACTTTGTGGGAGCCAGGAATTTGGTAAAAACAAAACAAGCAAAATACCCCAGTGAAATGTCATTCATTTCAGGGGCGAGTCCACGGCGGGGGGGCTGGGCACACTCCAACCAACATCCCAATATAACGTTCATTGGGTGGGGGCGACAGAGAGGAATTAGAACTGCCGCAAATCTTACAGAAGCACCAGAAGTTCAGTAAATCGGCGCTGCAAATGTTAACACGAAACGCTTACACCGCAGAAGAGTGTAACCACCACGGAGAAAATAAAAAGGAAGCGGTCTTTACCCGTCCGCGTTAGCGGTGGCCCTCGTCTGGTTTGTTTCTCTCTCCCCCTCTGCTCGAAGATTTAGGAGAAGCACCACGGGAACCACGGCGGCCAAGAGGAGCCCCGGGCGCCAGGGGAGAGTGGGTTTTTGCGAGGCTTTCCAGATGCAGACAACAAGCTAGAAAGTCACATGCCGGTCTCCAGCTCCTGACTGAGTCACTGTGTTTGGAGGCTGATATTCACAAATGAAAATATGATTCATTAGATTGTTTAATATGTAAGTTTCACCCCAGATGTCAGCCTGTTCCAAGAACTTGACTTACCGGGCTGGGACATGGGGAGTGGAGCTGAAAGAAATAGATGATGTAAAAAATACTTACTGGTTCTCTCTTTTCTTCTTCAGTGGATCCATGAGGCGCAGGGTGTCTCTGATTACGGCCACTTTCACTTCTTCATCGACAAGGCTGGGGACATATTCAAACACCCCTGGAGAGAGCTTGAATGGATGAGAATTCCATGTTACAGGGGACAGATCCGGGATTCGGTGCCCAGGGACTCTCAGTATCAGGTTGAGTTTGCTCATGTTAGTCTAGACAGACTATTTTAAAGGCTCCCTATATACTGCCTTAAAAATGTCAGTTTCCTGTTACAAATTAATAAGAGTATACATGCTCATTATAGGAAATTTGGAAATATAGAAAGGGGTAAAGGAAATGAAAAGCACCCACGTAATCCCCCTAAAACCCATTATTAGTATTTGATGTGTTTCCTTACAGTCTTTTTAATGCGTTTTGTTGTTGATGATGTTTTTTGGGGGAGAAAAAATTATAACCACTGTTAAATGTACTATTTATCTTAGTGATTCAAGCATGTCGACATGGCTAAATCATATTCATAGAATTTCAATTAGTTCATCTCCTGAGGCTAATTAGTTCATGTCAAAACTGATGGAAAGGCTCAGCTGCTTCTACATTTGCAGATCTTAAAAAGTGGAAGAACGGCATGCTGGGAAGTTACAGGTCAGATAGGTCTTATATTAATAGACTATGTTCAGAGCTCAACAAAACTGGAATTCTTTAGACTAAACAGAACTTTGCTGTGCAAATTTGGGAATGTTGAATCTTGTTTAGCCAAGTGAATAACATAAGAGTGGAAACATCCCATTGTATGGCAATATATTCAATGAGATACTCAAAAGACTTACTTCTTGCTCATGTTCGATTCTCATGCTGGGATTTGCATTAACTTCAAGTAGTATAGGCTTCAGATTTTTCATTAGAAGAATGTCAAAGCCTAAAATCTGTGCAGGATAAAAATAATTCAGAATTACTTCCTCTAGCTACAATTTCTTTTCAGGAATTGGGGGTTGGTATTAGAGTCAGTCAAGTGAAAATAAATTCAAATGTGGCCCCCAACCTGGGCCTTGACCACAGCCCCTCTTTCTCTGGGCGGGCTTGTCAGGCCAAATGGACAGCAGAACACTTTATAGGAGCCTTGATAATGGGATGAGTTCCCACAGTGCATTTCAGCACTATCATTGTCATCTGAAGTGCTATAGATGATGACCTCTTTCTTCTTTAACAGGCTTTTCATTATGTTAAGGATCAGTAGTAGTCCATCAATTTCTCTCGCTCCTTTTGCTCTCCTCTATTAAGTTGCTTCTTAGCTAGATCTCAGAAAACCCACGGCTACCCTTCCTAACCTTGGGTGTACATCAGTATCACTTAGGGATCCCTCTCAAAACCACCGTGCATCCCCAACCCACACCTGTGAGTCAGAATCTTTCAGAGTGGAATGCAGGCAAATGTGTTTTGAGTACCCCCCGCCAGGTGATTCTGATACACCCTCTTAGCTAAGGAGAAGGAAATATTTATTAAGCACCTACCAGGCACCAATAACTACACAAAGCGCCAATTAGTCATCTCATTTAATCCTCGACAGTGTATTTGAAGTAGGGATTGTACTATCCATGAAGCAGAAACTGAGTCTCAGGAAGGCCAGTGGATTCCCTCAGACCACCTAGCTAGCAAGTGACAGAGCTGCATGTCACACCCACGTAGGGCAGGATCCATAACTGTGGGACCCAGTGCAAGATGAATATACAAAGCCCCTGTTCAAAACCTAGTGACAATGTCATGGTCGTGAGAAGAGCATGACGCCAGGTGGGAGCCCTTCTGAACATGAGGTGCTGGTGACTGCACAGACCACATGCCCACGAAGCCAGCCCACACCCAAAGCTAACTCCAAAAGCTAACCATTTGTTGGACATCTGCCCTTGAACCCAGCATGCTGCCTCGGTGAGATTGTTCTCCTCTCTGGCCCCTTTCAGCCCTAAACCACTCGTACATCTTATTCCCTCTGCCTGAAACAACCCTTCACCTAGATAATTCCTCTTCATCCTCGAAACCACAGGTCCTAATTAGATTCAGACTCAGACTCTGAGGATGTCAGATTCTTAAGAGACCTCTCATTATCTCTACAGGAGGTGATAAGGTAGAAAGCTTCTAGCATAATTGATACAATCCCAAAGTTTCGAAAAATAATGTGGAGAATAAAGGAGAGAGAAGAAAAAGATATAGCGGTATCCCCTCTGTGGGCTCAAGGAGACAAGATGAAGGGACATTCACTTGTGTGTCTATATAGAATATGCATCAGTTAAATGACAATTATTAAACTGTGGCTTTGTCCTTATTAATGAAATCAGAGCCTAAATGACCATTTGGGGAAATAATTCAAGATGAGGTTATTCTTCAAAGAAGGGTAATAAGGATGAGAAGTTGGGAAAAGTCATCCTTATTCTATTTTTCTTTCCCTAGTCATGAAAAGGAAAAAAAATGGAAATCCAGCGGAAAATGTTACATGTATTATAGATCTGCTTAATAATATATGACAAGTGGCCATGAGTAATGAGGCCTTTAGGAGACTCTGGTGACATCATCTGTCTAACTGCAGACCTGGTCTGAGACATGTGATGATGAGGCTACAGAGATCGGTGGGCCGCAGTGCCAATGTGTATCATCCTTAGTCATCAACACTTAACTTTTTGCTACGTCTTAGAAGTTTGGACTTGTACTTTCTCCACCTGCTAGACTCTTTCCAGTTCAATGCACAGTGATTTCGTGAATGTAAAGCCATAGGAAGGCTGGAGAAGAGGGTGGCAAAACCTCATCAGCCATATTGACCTGCTCGCACCATGGCATAATACCTTCCAGAACCCACACTTTGATGCATATGGTTGAAGATGTTGGGTTTCGGACAAGAATGCTTTGGAGTCAGAAAGACTTGAGCTGCAATCCCAGCTCAGTATCTCATTCTAGCTCAACAACCCTAGGTGTGGTGCTTAGACTCTCTGAGTCTCATCTGCCTTGTCGACCAATGGAGACAATGGCTGCCTTGCAGGGCAGTTGATCAGGAAGCAAAAAGTACCTAGGATTCTGTTCACCGTACAGGAGGTACTGAACTTATGCTGGCTCCCCTGACAGTTTCCTCCTAGTCTCACCAACAGAAATGGCATCCGTGGCTTTGGGGTCCAGAGGAGCTCATTTCAAATCTTAGTCTGGCCCTGGCCGGTTTGGCTCAACGGTTAGAGCATCTGTCTGAGGTCCAGAGAGACCCGGGTTCGGTTCCCACTAAGTGCACGTACCTCCGTTGCAGTTTGTCCCCGGCCCTGGTTGGGTTGTGTGGGTGGCAGCCACTCGATGTGTCCCTTTCACGTTGATGTTTCTCTCTCTCTCTCTTCCCCTCCCACTCTATCTGAACAAAAAATGGAAAAAATGCCCTTGGGTGAGGATAAAAAAAACCACCAAACAAAAAAACCCCAAATCTTAGTTCTGCCTTTAACTGGTGTATCTGCAGGCAAGTTACTTAGCAGCTCTTGAGCCCCCGGTTCCTCATCTGTAAAATGGGAATAAGAATAGTCCTTACCTTAGTTCATTCATTTGTAAAATATTTACTGAAATGCTTCCTATGTCCTGGACTATTCTAGCTCCTGGAAACAGGGCGATGGACTAGACCAAGGCCCCCCTCGCGGAGCCGGAGACAGGCTCCAGTACAGATGGTGCGACAGAAACCACTTTGCACGGTGTCCAACGCCGAGGGAGCGTCTAATGAAAGGCAACTTTATTATATGTATTTTTTTCACAAGTTCAAGGAAATTTGAATTGTTTTCTTTTCAAAAGTTCAGTGAAATATGTTGCACCGACAGATTTCAATAAGCAGAATCACAAAACTGGGAGGAGCCTAAAGTGGATTTTGTCAGAAAATCCCAGAATGACGGAGCTGGTGGAAAACTGGGGATTCACTTGGTCTAGTATTTTTCAAAGTGGGGTTCTTTTCTGGAGAAGCACTGGGGAGGCCAGATCAGATCAACTTTTACCTATTTTCCATACTGGGGCTCCTAGGGGGAAAAGCTCCATTAAAACATTACTACTCTAGCCTGACACCCACTGATGCAGCCCAGAAACCTGCCACTCTCGGGCTCCGTGGCAGGGCAGGAACTGTCAGATGGAGAGACCTTTTCAGTCATGTGACACTCTGCCCTCCTCCAAGTCATTCAATCAGCACTTTTGTGTGGCTCACCTCCTACTTGAGAGGGACAGTAGGGTTTCAAAGATATCTGTCCTTCATCTCTGACTTCTAGAAGCTTCCAAAGCAAGATGGGGAGAAAACTCATGCAAAGGCTCCAAGCTACACTCCGGGGAGTGGGGGTGCTCTCCTGAGATCCAGAACTACACATCCGCCTGCATCCAGGGTGTTCCCAACTGGGAGGTCCCGACTCCTCAAATCGAACCTCCCCGAGCTCACCATCTGTGGTCGGCAGTCTCTAAGATGGCCTCAGTGATCCCAACCTCATGGAGTCCGTGCCCTGTGTAATCCCCTCCCCTTGAGTGTGGGCTGAACCTGGTGACTTCTTTCTCATAGTACAGGGCAGAGATGATGGGCTGTCACTTCCAATATTAGGCTATAAAATACTGGACCTCCACCTTGGCACGCATTCTCTTAACTCTCTTGCTCGCTCGCTCTGAGGGAAGTCAGCCCCCACGTGTGAGCTGCCCAGTGGAGAGACCCGGTGGGACAACAGCCGGGATGGGGGGCTGAGGCCTCCCAAGCCCCATGTGAGTGAGCTTGGAGGAGGATCTCCCCAGTGAAGCCTTGAGCTGACGGCAGTCCCGGCCAACATGGGCACTGCAGCCTCGCAGCCTTGCGAGGCAGTCGGCCAAGTCTACATTCCTCATCCACGGCAACTGTGAGATAACAGTTTGTTGGTTTAAGCTGCTAAGTTTGGAGGTAATTTGTTACACAGCAATAGATCATTAACACACCATCTCTCTAAAGTCTACTTTGCCTATAGTATTCCTTATCCACCCAATCACACAAGCCCCAAATTTCCCCTTCGTCCTTTATATCTGCCTGCACACCAACTCATGCATTCTACCTCCAAAAACGTTCTAGATGTGGCCCATCCTCGAGGCTCCTGGTCTGGATCAGGTCTGTACCACCTTGCACCTGGAATACTCTAATAGCTCCCCATCTGTTTCCCTGCTCTCAGACTCACCCCTCCAATTCATCTGGAACCGGGGCAACTACAGTATTTTTATAAAATGCAAACAGAGCCCGGCTGGTGCGGCTCAGTAGTTGAGCATCGATCCATGCACCAGGAGGTCACCGGTTCAATTCCCGGTCAGGGCACATGCCCAGGTTGTGGGCCCGATCCCCAGTGAGGGGCATGCAGGAGGTGGGCCAATCGATGTTCTCTCTCATCGATGTTTCTCTATCTCTCTCCCCCTCTTCCTTCCTCTCTCTAAAATCAATAAAGAAAAAAATTAAATGCAAACAGAATGTCAACACTCCTCTGCCTGAAACCCCTGCCTACGGAATGAAGCCCAAGCTCCGCGTCATGTCCTACAAACTCCGCTATGGCCCGGCATGTGTCTCACACTCCAGCTCTTTTTCCTCCCACTCACTACTGCACATTTGGGCTTCAACTGCACCAAACTATCAGTAGTTGTGGGATGTTATGCTCCTCTCTGCCTTTATACTGTTTTGCCTGGAAGACAATTTTAGTTATCAGATATTTAATGAGCACCTACTGAATACTAGGTACTGTTCTAGGCACTGGGGTAAAGCAGTGAACAAGGCAAAGGATGTTTAAAGTCCTGCCCTCTTGGAGCTTACGTTTTAGTGGAGAGAGATGCCACATGTGAATGGTGAACTAAAGCAAGCAAAGAACACAGAGTGTGGTTTAGAGGGGATGGCCAGGGAAGTCCTTTCGAAGGAAGTGGCATTTGTCATCCTATTGTC